GGAATCCCATAAAGTTCATGACCAAAGGGCTATTATCACTCTGTTTAGTTCCATGGCTACTTATGGTAATGCCGATGGGAGTTCAATTGTTGTTTCATGCTCAGAAGGTATGTTATTACTGTTTCACAAAATGCTAACTCCATCCCAATTTAGTGTCCTGTTTTGGATTGCAAGGTTTGGCTGAAGTAAAGTTAAACCTCGCCTAATAATATTAAAATTAGTATTAATAATTACCAGTAGAATTTATATAAAAAATTTAAATTCGAATATTTGAAAGCTATGATACACAAAATCTGAGAAGAAAAAGAAATTAGACTGACTACATGAATAGTTAAGGTGACAAACAAAATGGGGCAAAGGGATTACTGTGATGAGTTCCCTTCTTTTCTGTCTGCGCATGAGTATAAACGATTGAGTAGCTTATATATCTTTCCATTTTGTTTTTAGGTACTGATATTTTAATTGTTCATGGTAAAACTGGAAACGTCTTGGGTAGACTTGACACAAATCAGCTTAAAAACAACATGGCCACTATATCTCCCAATGGGCGTTTTGTTGCTGCTGCAGCTTTCACTGCTGATGTTAAGGTGCGTATGATTATAGTTTTCCTATAAAGTTTTTCTTTTGATCCCATTGCGCAAATGTAAGCAGTATATTTTTTTCAGACCAGAAAACATATTGAAAATGATCTAACTACTTAATCTTTTGGTTGGAAATCAATAGCTTTCTTCCCTTCTTTTGCCTCAGTAATATTTGCAATGTGAGAATATTATGCCACTTAGCATCATCCTGTGCTTGTACGGTTGTACTTCTTGTTTTAGAGGAAGTTATGCTCATTTTGCCATATCTAAGCCCATATGACTCGAGTTTCATATAAAGGAAATACTTTCTATGAAAAACACAGTTTTGAGCAGTTGGGTTTGTGTTGAGATATGAGCAATATATGTTGGCAGGTCTGGGAGATTATGTACTCAAAAGATGGTCTTGTGAAGGAAGTGAAAAAAGTTATGCAGCTCAAGGGGCACAAGGTAATCTACTTTCTAATGACTAATTGATCATACTGTTAATCCTCCCATCTTTCAATTAGTTTCATGTCAAGTTGTCCTCTTTCTATTGTTCTATTGGGCTTAACATTTTTTTCTCTAAATATAATGGGTTGGCATGAAGACTATGATTAACATCAGTTAGCGCAATACCCCCCCCCCCCCCCAACACACATGTTTTTTTTATACTTCTATGTAGTAATTTGTTGGTGAAACTTCCACTGTTTGGCTAATATATTTCCACTGTTCTGTGTGATATTTTCAGAGTGCAGTGACTTGGCTCTGTTTTACTCCAAATTCAGATCAAATAATTACTGCATCTAAGGATGGTTTTATAAGGGTGTGGAACATCAATGGTATGTGAGTATGTTAATCATAATTACTCGAAAAAAAACGTAAGGCAGGATACTAAGTGGTTTTCTTTTGCAGTTAGATATCATCTTGATGAGGACCCTAAAACATTGAAAGTGGTTCCTATTCCACTTCATGATTCAAAGGGAGTGACCTTACACTATGACCGTATGTGCCTGTCACCTGATGGAAACATATTGGCAGTCACCCATGGTTCAACATTGCAATGGTTACATCCTGATACGGGGAAGGTCTTGGATTCAGCGGAGAAAGCCCATGATGGTAAGCGTTTCTCTTTTAGTTTCTTTGATATTGAAAACCTCCAATATTTATCTTCTCTAGCACTCAAGTACGCAAATCCTCATAATTGTTGTTGTTGTTGTTATTATTATTATTATTATTATTATTCTTTTTTGTTATAATAATTATTATTAATATTTTTATTATTACTATTACTACTAATATTTTCCATCATTTTCAATGAAGCCAGAGACTCACTATTTTTTGGTTTGGGAATATGATGGAATAAAGCAAAATGGTTCACTAAACTGTCTGCGCTTCTTTGTTATGGAGTAACAGTCAGTCTGTGCATTTTTCGACGCGATTTTCACTATGGGTCATTCGGAAACAGTCTCTCTGTGCTTTAGTACAGGGGTAAGATTGCGTACATCCGACCCCCCTTACACCACCGTAGGTGGGAGCCTTTGTGGCACTGGGGTAATGATGATGATGATATATACTACTCTTTCCATCCCATTTATATTGTCCCGTTTTACCTTTCGGGAAGTCCCACTTAAATTGTCCCATACCATATTTGGTAAAGTTTGTGTGGCTCAAAATCATTCTTACTTTATTCTTACTTTATCAATTAATATTAACCACACAAACCCACTTTTCTTAAAACTCCTGCCACCCTCTTCCGTCCCAATATAAAAGGGACGGAGGTAGTATTACTACTACTACTATTATTATTATTTCGATTAGTTTTAATCAGATTGCATTTTTGTTTATTTATTAACCATTTATTCTTGCAGGTAACATCACAGACATGGCTTGGTCACCTCGTATGATCTCTGCAGGCAAGTTACCACCCCCGATAATCTGAAAATAATGCCAAAATAGAAGTGTAAAATTTGAAATTTATAGGGTAGCAGATTGAATCTTGTTTACATTGTTCTAATACCTCCATCCTAGTATCCTTTGATTTGCATTATTTGTCTCTTTGGTCAAAGTTGTCAAAATTTGGCCAATGTTTTTAATCAATGTACTCTAGTAAAAATGATAAACTTTGTATTTTTGTCGGAGAATTTATAACAAAAAAACATTGTTGGTAATACTTTCCTAATGGAAGTCATTTTCTAATACTCGGTAATATATTGTTGGTCAAACGTTGACATTTTGACCGAAAAAGTTAAATATTGCGAATCTTCGTGAGACAGAGGTAGAATATATATGATGAGAAGTGTTTAAAACAGAAGAAGGCAGAGAGTAGCAAAAGTGGGCCCCAATGCCTATGTGGGCTTGCATAGGATCAGCTGCAGAGTGAGTATGATTTTTATTCATTTTTTCTGCATCTGCAGGAGGCAAGAAAGAATGGATATTGGCCACATCCAGCACAGATAAGAAAGTGAAACTTTGGGCAGCTCCATCTTTGCCATCAGCATAAATGTGATTCAGAAAGTTGATGCAGAAATCAACAATCACAGGTGGAGCGCTACTAATCTTGATGCAGAAAGTTGAAGTTTTCTGGTAGTGACCTTTACACATATGATAACCCCAGGCCCTGACCACTACCTTCCACTGCTGCGATTCATGGCGTGACAACGGCATTTGGTACACTGAGATGTTATTATGCCTATGTAACTTGGCTTTCATCATTTGCAATTTGCTTTGCTTTGTATTGCAGATGATCATGAATGTTAAGAGCAGCTTTTAGTTTATTATTTAAGATAAGATTATTTTGGATGGGAAAGTTGAGTTAATTCAAGTTATGCAACTGTTACTTCATAAGTTATCATATTTTTTTTGTTACTTCATAAGTTCTCATATTTCTTCCTCCCTCCAAAAGGAGTAGTTTAGTATACTACTTTTGAAACGAATAAAGGTAATACGGACTACGGAGTACTCGCATTTGCTAATTCTTTTCTAACTTTGCCTCTGCCGCTCTTGGGGGCCGTTTGGCTGTCGATGCTTGTGGCTTATCAGTCAAATTGTTTACTAAACAGTTCTTTGATTTTGAATTGGTTTAGGAAAGTAGCACTTAAGCCTTGTCCACACATTTTTAATTTACTTTTCCCGTACATTATACGAAGTAGGTGGTATTTTAATACTTCGTAACTTTTTCTCAATTTAATTAATCAGTTATAACTTTCAAACTATGCAAATTCTTCTATGTGAACCATTTTAACTCTCCCCAAACAACCATAAAAAAACTCTCTACAAACACTAAATTAGATCAGGTCAAACTTAAACAGATCAAATCAGACTTTGATAGACAAAGCTAGATCAAATCAAATTTGAACAATTATAAAATACTCTGAGACCATACAATTACCAGACCAGAACAGACCAAACTTAAACAGAACAGATCAGATCAGATTAGATCGGACCTGATCAGTAAATTTCAGTCCAAAAGAAAACACCCTTGCACAATGTCATGATTGTGATACTGTAAAGTACGTTGCCATTTTGAACAAAAAATCGTATTGTAAAAACCGAATTGAGTAGAAAAAATCAAATCGAAATTGAATTGTTATGAATGAAACCCGAAAGCCGAGAACCGAAAATTATTTGGTTTATAATGGTTCTTAGAGAAAACGTCAGTTCAAATTGAACATTGATTCTTTTATTTAGTATGTAGTAGTAATAGACATATTACCTTCGTCTCATTACTCTCATACTCTCATCGAACATTGTCAAATATTTGATTGATGTAAAATAAGAAAAGTTTAAATTGCGATTTGTGCAGTGAAGAAAAAAATAAAAGAATCATAAATATTTACTTATTTACTTTTAAGGAAAGTTTTTTGGACAAAAAAAAGTTGATAAATCCAATAGGAAGGAGAGAATGGTTATTTTAATTATATCTATATCAAATATTATATCAGAAAATATAATGCAAAAAAATTATTGTATATCGCAAATTATATCCTACGATCGGCACACCATGAGGATGGTGTGCCCGGTCCCTAAAAAGAAAGAAAAACAGAGCATCCTGCTGCGCATCTCATCTCTTTCGCTCTTCATCTCCTTCGCTCTTCATCTCATTCGTCGCTATGCCTACCTGTTGCACATCTGCTCTCTAAAATCTGATGACCACCAGCATAACACATACCCTAAAACTTGAGATCCCACTCATATTTACGCCCATCTATCCATGCCCTCGATGTGAAGCTGCCTTTGATGTGTGTATATATATGGATTGTGTATGTATATATATACACACATCAAAGTGAAACGGATTTCCAAATTTTTCTTAATTACGGAAACGGTCTCGAAACGGGAATTTGAAGTTTCCGAGTTTCCGAAACGTTTCCGAGTTTCCGAAACATGGAAAGGCTTCATAGTGCCCATCCATGCACCGGTTGCGGCCTCAATGTATGTAGACTCTTACACTTTCTAATAAAAACAAGCTTCACAAGTTTTAATGGTAAAGCACGTATTCAGATTAAGACCAGCACCTCTCTCTGGTTTTGGCAGACAAGGATGGTGCTAATCATTTTGAGCCTCCGAAATCATTTGTAGAATCTAAAAAGATCCATTTTTTTTCAAGAATCTCCGCAACTTAGTTTGAATCGCCGATTAAGGCACTCTGCCCAGAGGATCTCAATCCATCGGACGGCCGACCATCAAAATGCAGATGTCCACGGCTCAAAACTGATACAACGACGACTGCTGGCTTTGCAAATAAACAGCTTCCCATGGCGTTACAACACTCTGTCTCTCTAATTCCCAACTACAACAAGAAGAAGAGGTACTCTTGTTACAGGTATGCTTCAGTCTGTTGCCAGAAGCAGCAGCCCCGACAAGATGACAGTTGTCCTGCTAAAATGGGTCGCAGGTATGAAGAATATCTTCTGATTCTTTTTTTTTTTAATCTGTGGGAAATAATTGCTGACCTTCACTGTTTGTGAAGGGAGATAATACTGAGGACCAGTGAATTTGCGCTGCTTGGATCCATTTTCAGCTTCAGGTATGTCTTCATCTTTTGTTTATTTAGGTCAACTGCTGTAAGTCAGTAATTGAAGGTAATTACTGCTGTAAGTAATTGAAGGTAATCCTAGTTCGATATAAGGTAATTAGATTTCACAGAAACCTGTTTGCAAGCAATGACTCTGAGGTAAATGAGGGCATATAGTATAATAATATTATAAATTGGTAGGATTATTCAGAGTAACAAGAACATTGAGGGGGTGTTTGGAACTGATTCTGCTTCTTTTTTAAAGCAGAAGCAGAATCAGAATCGGTTTTCAGAAGCTGGCCCCCCTGCTTCTGAAAAAACTGATTCTAGGAGTAAATTAGAGTACCAGAATCACTTTTGCACTTTCACCCAAGCAGTATTAAGAATTAGATCCAAACACCCCCTGAATTGAGGTGTTTGGTATTGATTCTGCTCATGTTTCGTTTTAAAAATATAATCAAAATTTTAGCTGTACGAAAAAGCTATTATGTTTTGGTATTTGTTATTCTAGTGCTCTATGAAAGAGATAATCACTTCTGAGTGTTCAAATAACTTGTGCTTGAAATTGATTCTTTTTTTATGGAATGACCAAAAAAGTACATTAAGTTAAGATTGTACTATTACATTAAAGTAATTTTTTTGCGAGGTACATTAAAGTAATTTATTATATAAAGAAATTGTGCATGAGAACTGTTAATAGTGATTTTGGAAGTTTACTCAAAATATACTGTCTCCTTCCAACTGCTACATGAAGGAGCAGAAGTAGTAGTTTTCGGAAGTGGATGGAAGCATCCATCACTTATATTTCCTACATCGATTGCTCTGGTTTATTTTGTTTATCAAACAATACCAAAGGAGGTACCTCCCTTGTCCTACAGTCCTTCCTCTTCACAAATGGGCTGTTCATAATGCTTTAATTATGTATTCAAGATTTTCCTCTTGTTTTTCTTATTATGCCTTTACAAATGAATAAAATACTCTTTGTGCAATTTTTTCCATGCACCATGATATCCAATGCTTCTGATTTTGTGCAGTGGACCAAAGCCAAACTACTTGGGAGTGCAGAAGAGTCCTCAGGGTTTAGCTCTATGCCCGGCCACCAACAATTGCATTTCCACTTCCGAGAACATCAGTGATCTCACTCACTATGCTCCTCCGTGGTATTAAAAGCTCTTGCTGTCCTCACCTTGTCCAACTCATAATTCATTCACAATTTAAATAATTTACTCCTATGCAGGAACTACAATACTGAAGAGAAGCGTGGTAAAGTTAGCAAAGAAAAGGCAATGGAAGAGCTTGTTGAAGTGGTATCAGATGACACATTAGTGACTCTTTACAAAGCCTTGTGTTTGACTAGCTAATTAACTAGACTTAATCTCTTAGTGTGACCTGACTAGCACATGTGCAGAAGTAGTGAGTTTTTTTTTAAAAAAAAAAATTTACAGATACAATCTACAAAACCAGACAAGTTTACACCAAAGATTGTGGAGAAGAAGGATGACTACTTGCGTGTAGAATACGAGTGTCCCATTTTCGGGGTATGTGCAAAACACTTAAAATTTCTTTCTATCATTCTATGTATTGCACGGCAAACACTCTTAAAAATAAAACTTCTAACTGATGTATCAGTTGGTGGATGATGTCGAGTTTTGGTTCCCCCACGGAAAGAAACCTCTAGTACAATACAGATCTGCATCACGAATTGGAAGTTATGACTTTGATGTGAATCGGAAGAGGATCAAGGTAAATAATTTTGAATAAACTAACATGTATTGTGTGCTACTGGTTAATTGCACATATAGTTTAATACTTATTCTGATATAATCATTTAATCAGATGCTGAGATTGGCTCTGGAGAAGAAGGGATGGTTATCAGAAGATGTACTATTTGAGTAAATGCACTTTGACTCTGTGAGGAAGAACACTGCCGAGTATTGAACATCTTTTCATATCCTGAAGTGACAAAATTGATGTTTAGAACTTTTTTGACACTTTTGGTCATGTTTACGTTCAATTTACTTTACAAGTTATTACAAATTACTGATGTTTATTTTTGTTCAGGTTGTGAACATGTAAATATTTAAATGTAAACTAATTTTTACAGCAACTATCCAATTCGGATCGGTCGTCGTTCAAATTCCAGAGATTGAACAGCAGCAACACAGCAACCCAACAGCGGCACAACGAAGTGCTAGCAAGGGAAACAATGGACAGGAACCTCTCTCGACAGCAGAGAACCGACGGTGGTTGCATTCGAATGGAGACCGACTGAACTTCGATGGGGGCAACATCACGACAATAGCGACGTTGGGATCTCGACCGCATGGACTATGCGTGACCCGACCAGAGCTCACACCAACCGGCAACAAACGACTAGTGGCGACCTAACTAGATCTAAAAAATCCTAGCCACGAGCAGCGACTAAACCTGTCTCCAAAGTTGCGTGGACATCCGATAGATGGTGTACGACCAAGGGGCAGCCTTCAGGATACCTTACGCTGGGCAGCCACAGGCCTAAAAGAACACTTTCCAATGGGAATCCTAAAATTTTGCAGTAGTTAAACGTGTTGGAAATTAATAATAAATCTTATAATCCTCAATGAGGGTTAGGGCATTTTAGAGCTGAAAATTATGTTGGTGTAATCATGTGCTTTATTGGATTGTACATTGTGTTTTACTCCATGTACTTCTTAAAGAAATAAAAATTTCCGTTTAACTCCCGTCTAGCTCCCCGTTACGGCCCATTATAATTTCCGTTTACCTCCTGCTATTACGGCTTAAGTGCTTGACCCTGATTTCACACAGCTAGAGCTCCCCCGCTTCAATCTCGAGCGCCCCGAACCTTGTATTCGCGCATGGCAGCTATCAACCGCGTCTGAACCAAACCACGCTGGCTCCCATCTTTCCTCCTTCATGGGCCAACTGTCTAGGTTTCTTTTCAGGCCGTTTCTCCGCATTGTGCTCAACTATGCTCATCTCTTTCCTCTTTAATACCCACATTATTATGTTATTGAATTCCTTATCATTGATTTCATCAGTTATGGATGATGTACGGGCTTCATTCTCCAGATGACAAATATAAATGGGTTTGTGCGCAGCCTTAGGAAAAACTTCAGCGCTTCCGGACCTCATATGCACTGTAAGCATACCCTCTCCCTGCTTTCTTCCCCTGTTTGTGCTGCTTTTGAATTTCCAGTCAATTATGAATGAAGAGTTAATAAAAAACCATAGCAAACAATTGATTGAAGCTCACCTATAATATTAGTAATTTGGTATGATTCTGTTAAAAACAGAGCCACTAATGAAGATAGAACTGTCACACTATGTATCATAATATTTAATTGTATCGCTAAAATATATTCACCTAGAATGAGTTGAACTCGAGGGAACCAGAGTCCTGTAAGTTGTCACACTATAGGAACTACTACTGGCCAGATTAGAACAAAATATAATCTGATTGGGTATGTCACTGCTCAGTACTCTTTTATAGTTGTTGAATTTTCCAATCAATTACAAATGAAGACTTAACCAAAAATTATATCAGCCAATTACTAAAAGTATACCTATAATGTTACTGATATTTTCGTTAAAAACAGTACCAACAATGATACTTACATTCCAACTTTAATTTTGTCATAGTGTGGAGTTAAGAATACATTAGTGACAGAATATTGTTGCAGCTGCACACACAATCCACTTTGCCTTTAAACTGAAATGCTTTACAAAATTTTGAATAAGAGATGTGGTTTTTGGTGTGCATACTAAAAAGTAGGTTAGGAGCTGCATGTTTTGTAGTGTACTTTCTCCAAACGCTAACTATAGCGATGTTTAGAAAATTATTATTAGCCTTTATTAAATAGAAACATTATTAAAGTGGAGTAGTAGTTTACAGATTAACAAGAATAATAAAGAGGGCAGCACTCATACAAGAGCTTCTGCCTACAGAAGTCTTCAACATGAAGTTCAAAGATAAGGGGGGGGGGGGGGAAGCATGTAGAAAATGTGTGTCTTTATGTTTTATACCTAATGAAGCATCACTTGCTTTCTGAAATCTGAATTTTAAAGGGGATAGAGTTGAAGTCTCATTTCTTTGGCCTAAAGCATAGTGGTTTCTGAGACAGTAAAAGCACTTTAAAGACCAGATTCTATAACCAATTTGAGGAGAGGGAAAATAATACCTTAAGGAGAACTCCCCCCTTATGGTGTTCAAAATCAACCGTGAAACAGGCAACCTACAAAAGAAGTCCGTTAACATATTTTAAAGAACTATGCCATATTTACTTCTTAGAAATTGAACAATGTCATATTCAAGAGAAGCCAGCTAAATTATTAGAGAATTATTTGGCACCTAAATGGATCCAATTTTCTTGCCTCTATTTCTTCTTTCAGTTTATCTTTCGTTAAACTTATAACCCCAATTTGCTGTATTAGTATATCAGTAGAAAAGGAACTAATTCAATTAAGCTTAGATTTTCTTGCACTTATGCTTAAAAGTCTCCCTAAAAACCTACGTGTGGGGATGGAGCACAGAAATTTTCTCCTGGGTCCTCATTAAAATCTTATGCTAAATTAAGTTACCTTCCTCCCTCTCTTATCCTATAAGGTTAAATGGTAGATTTAATTTGCAAAGTTGGGTTAGTGTTTTTTTAAAGTATAAGTGTGTTCCTTAAAAGTTTAAGAGCAAGCTTGATTTAAATATATGAGAAGTTAGAGAAAACAGTGATCTCAATACATATCTAGAGGGACATACTATCATTTTCATACTCTGAAGCTTGAGTACCATTTCCCCCTTCTCTTTTGGACCCTAACAGTTCTTCATGAGTTAGTTTGACAATTTTTTATTTGAACATCAACATTCTGAAGCTACTTTTTTTTGTACTAAGTTTGTATAGTATGCCATATAACTCCACATTTGTTTTAAACATCTTTCACCTCTAAGATTAAGAAACAACTTACTTTTCACTTTTAGGAAACCAATCACAAAGAGTGTGACTGAATTGAGAATATGTGAATTGATTTTTTTTTGGAAAGGAGAAGATGTATTTGTAATAAAACTTCATCTAGGAAATGACTTTCGGGCACTTGGCTGTTTTTTGCTAGGTAAATGTGTTGCGCGATTGTAGGAAGACATATAATGCATCATGATTATGCAGATACGAGGATGGATTATTTTTGGAGATCTGTTGATGAAGACATAGTTTAGCAACTAGCAAGGCCATGTGGAAAAGGTGACAATGGCCGGATGAGATTTATGCTTTTGCGTACGGACCTACAAATGGCACATGGATGAAAACTATGATCCATCTACTTCATTGGTTAGTACTAAGAGTTTTCACTACTCCGCACTTGATACCAAAAAAGCTTATCTGCTCAGCTCTCAAACTAAACAGAACTTCTTCTACAGGTCGGAAAGAAGAGTGTTTGTCTGCCAGTGTGCGTTGTATTAAGTTTATGACATGGATTCAAAATCAGAGAAACTAGCACTAAATGGGAAAATGGCTGGGAAGCCAATTCAGTGCCGAGGTAAGTTTTTTGTTTTTTAATGGCATTGACTACCGTGTGACTGATATAGTCATGCTTGTACTCACAAGTCTTTATGGTTTCATTGAATATGGTGTCACTGTGGTGGTAAGGAAAGCTGGGGAGCCGTTGGTATAGAGGAGGTGATTGTGGCTCCTCCCAAATCCATGATTTTGCATCAAGATTATGTGCACTTCTCTCTGTCATAACAATGTTGTCTTCTGGAACCTGCAAGTAATTTATTGCTAATTTTTATGGGGTTTTCCCTATACTATTACTAATGAGTATGTTTTTTTTTAGTGCATTTTTATTGATTTCAATTATGGATCTCTTAAGGAAATAAAAAACTGTTCTAAGGCTTGTAATTGGTTTTACATTAAATACAATGTGGCTGCTAATTACATAGTCTGCATAATCTTCCTCTATTGATTCCTTTTACATGCATAACGGCTTCTTACATAGTCTTTTCTTTGAAGTACTCAAAATCTTCCTTAATTGAATCAGATGACAAACTATTATCTATAAAGCATCCCAAATGATTGCTTAGCAACTGTGAAGAAACCCTTCAGCTTATCAAGGGCAGTTTAAGCTCGTGTTTGGTTGAATATCTTAGACATTTAGAAGTCATTTAGTAGACACACTCCCAACAATTGGGTGTTTAACTCATTAGGCTTTTCAGCCTAAATATATTAGCCTTTTGCTATCTCAGTTGTGATTTTCTAGATGAAATCACAATTTGTCTTTTCGTATTTTGCCCATAGATTTTTTATTTTTAATTGGTTGATAGTTCTTTCAAGTTTGTAGGTCTTTATCAGCAGCTGCTTTCATCTAAGTCTTGAAAAGTATAACAAATGGTTTTCATCTTTTTAATAGTTGATACACTTTCTTATCAATTTCAGTGTTTGATGATTACGTAATAATATTTGTGTTGCTAATAAGACCTTTTTACTTTGTGTTTTTTGCAGATAGGGTAGAACTCCTTTGATCACGAGACCGTATTTCCTCAAATGTAATCGAACCTACAAATGGCACATTAATGAAAACTATGATCCATCTACTTCATTGGTTAGTATTAACAGTTTTCACTACTTCATTTGTCTACGTCGATCACCGGGGGAAATACTATCATCAATCATCATTTACCCCAGTTCCACAAAGGCTCCCACCTACGGTGGGATAGGGGGGGGGGGTCGGATGTACATAGTCTTACCCCTGTACTAAAGCACAGAGAGGTTGTTTCCGGATGATCCATATTGAAAAACGCGTCCAAAAAATGCATGGACTGACTGACGCTTCATAACAAAGAAGCGCAAACAGTTTGGTAAAAGCCATTTTGCTTTATTCAATCATATTCTCAAGCCAAAAAATAATGAATCTTTGGCTCCATTGCAAATGATGGAAAAATAATGAATCACCGGGGGAAATGCTATCTTGCAAAAAAATGTTTATTATAAATAAAAATAATTTTTTTTATTAAAATATGTCAAAGGTAGAATAGGAAGAAAGAGAGTTAGTTACTCCTATTTTGAAAATTTCCCCATTTTGTTTAATATTTGAGGTTTTCACAGACCTTTTCCCTAAACAACCCACTATGGGGAAGATCAGATTATTTCGATTTAAAAATATTGCTAATTTTTTGTATGGTATTATAACATGTGCCCCAGGTTAGTGAAAGTTAAATAATTCGTTTTTACCTTGAGTCTGCAGGATCTCGCCTTCACAACATGGAGGGGATACATACTTCTGATACACTTGTCATTTTAGATACCCGTACTCCGTTTACCACTCCGTTTTTTCAGTAAAATATTGTTTGATTTAAGCGATTGAAACTAATCTTTATGTATTCTTGTAAGGGAGTCTATTTGTATAGTGTAGTCTGTACTGATTAAATAGATCATCTAATTAGCGGTTTGTATTCTTAGGTCATTTATAGTGTATTCTTTTTAGCTCAATATTCAACTCTAAAGATAAATGTGGTATATGTGGTTTTGTGAAAGGTAAAAGGTATTGTTATACTCATTCTTATAGATTTCTAAATCTCTATCCCAGTGAGAATAGAAGTCAACATGAAAGTGATGAAACTGACAGCCATTCTTAGAGTGCAGTCTCTATTTGACTATTTTTGTCTTTTTGATCAATTCCTATACAATATGTGGAATTCCATTAGTTAAATGGAATTCATTATTGTGTTATTTGGGTTCACTACTACTACTACGTTTTAGTTTTAGATATGAGATTTTATTTTGGCATTAGGTTATTTGTAATGCTTTACGCTACTTCCATAAAAATTCAAAGATTTTCACTTCATTTTAATGTTAATATGTAAAATACAAAAGTAATCATAACAAATAAAATATTTTCAAACAAGTAACACATTGGGTATTTACACCCTCGCGCATCGCGTGCGCACACAACTAGTTTTTAATAAAAGTAAATCTTGTCGTTTCTTTCTCTGACGGTAATTCTATCCGTATTTCTGAATCAAAGAATGGTATTTCATCTGATGTCGATTTTGATCTTGAAAGGGTCATTTGGATAAAAGACTATTTTCAAGCGTTTATATGATATTTGGTCTTGTTCTAGGCTTGAATTAAAAAATTCTCTCATAATTCTTCATGATTCTAATTTTTTGGTGGTTTCTTCTGCATCATGAAGAAAGGTTGTGATTCTTTTCATTCGAGAAGGTCTTAAAGGAATTGGGATTAAACAAGCATCATCAAGAAAGGTTGTGATGCGGGAAGTTGCCGCTAATCAGCCAACTTAAAAGATTAACAAGGATTGTTGTGGGGGCTCAGGTACGATCCTTTACTTAGATTGGGATCTTTTCATAAACAGAGATGATGCACATCAGAACGACCTCTCTATTTCTGGAGCATTATTTCATGCTGATATTGAACAATCTCTCATTTGTAAGAAACTTTTGATGATGAAATCTACTGAGGAACATATGAGTACTGATATCTCACAAGACTCTTCCTTGGACAACATTAAAAATCTCTTTCAGATTACTACGTCAAATGGTGTGGATTCGCTCTCTCACTTTCTATCAATGGGAGTTATGACAATTCAACCCAAATTAAAAAAGGCCATGTCCCCTTCGTCGTTCAATCATGAAATGGTCAAACATTTCTTTAGTAAATTCAAACGGATTAAATGAAGTTATTTGTAGTCTATGATCAATGATGATTGTAACGTAATTGCACTGTCAGATTGCTTTACTTCAACTACCCATTCAAAAGACCCATCACTTCCTCAAAGGCCATTATTGCACACATCATAAATAGTTCAAGGCATGCAGTATGATTATCATCATCATCATCATCATCATCATCATCATTATCATAATCTTTACACCAGTATCGCAAAGGATTCCACTTACGGTGGGCGGAATTGGGGGTCAGATGTACCCAACCTTACCCGTGTACTAAAGCTAGCACAAAGAAACTGTTTCTGGATGATCCATGGAAAAAATTGCGTCAAAAATTGCATGGACTGACTTTTGTTTCATAACAATGAAGCACAGACAATTTACTGAACCATTTTGATTTTTTTTTACTCCAGGGGGGTCTGGGGGAGGGGGGGCTGGGGGGAACCTGGAGTAATCAAGGCTGAAACTCACTCCATTGAGTTTCGAACCTTTATGTGTCTAGCGGGTTTCGAACTCGAGACTTCCCACTAGGCACGGTAACCTCACAACCAGTAAAAAACAGTGAAGCTTTGATTCCGTTGCAAATGATGAAAATAAGGCATGCATTTAAGTATTAATGAAAAAGATATTGCCCAAAATAGGAGTAAAATTAAAGAATGTTCTAAAATAACTCAAAACATGACATATTAATCTTATTAAAAGTGGTAATCTAAATGATGGCATGTGTGGGAGTTATGACCATTTGACCCATGTACACTTGTACAGAAAAGGCCATATGCACTTCATCATTAAACAAGACGGTCATGCGTTTCGTTTTTAAAGTTCAAGCATATTAAAGTTAGACTGTTTGCAGTCGGTAGTCACTGGTCAGATCAGTGACGACAATAACGTAACTGCAATGTCTGATTACTTTACCTCACCTACCCATTGAAAGGACCCACACACCACTATTTAGGCCAATGTTGTAAACACAACGCCTCATAGACCATTATTCCAAAAGATCATATATAGTACTAAGTGAATTGTGGTACTAATCATAAATATTTGTTTAAAATAGAAGTAAAAATGAAGAAGTTCTAAAGTAACTCAATTTACAAAATATTTAGTCTTATTAAAAGTGCTATGATCTCAAAAATTCTTTCTTTTAGGAAATAAATAAAATCTGATTGAGAGCAAGTGCGCAACCCATCGTCTTCTTTAGTAAAAATGTGAACTAGCTCGCTCAATCTTTAATCTTATCAATATACTAGTATTGATTTTGATTGCAACATAATTATGTCGAAAAGACTAGATTCACTACATGTAATTATATGCCACATGGGCCATGGCCAGCCCAACCCACTATTTGAAGGGGCGGACATGAAGTAGAGTACTTAAAACCCATCACGACCAATTAGCCGGGCTGACATGACCCATCCCAGCCCAATCCGTTACCCCATCCAAGCCCAGCCCAGAAGCCCATTTATACACTTGATTGTTTTTAGTTAATTCTACACTATACATCATTAGTAATATAAAATATTAGTAATACCATATAGTTTTTTCAAAAAAGATATTGGTTGAATTCTAATACAATCAAAGCATTAATTTTTTAAAAAGATTGGACACCAATAAATTCTAGAATGCGAGCTAGAAAAAGCAACATTTAATAAAAAAATGTAATATATTATCTACTACATACATATATTATTACATCAAGACCGGATACGATAACATTGGTGATATGAAAGAGAATGATGTTCTTGATGGTTGTTAGGTGATAAAGAGTTACGTTTGAGAAGTTTAAATTAAAATAATAAATGTGATATTTTGCATATAAAGAGTGTTTAATATATACTTGCAAAAATAGATAAGTTTAAACTTTTATTTTATTTAAATGTGATATATATGGAGTAATGAATTCTTTTTCACCCATTTAGATTTAAATGGTATTTCAAGTTGCGCAAAAAAATTAGAGTTTTTTCCCGGAATAATGCTGCATAAATAAATAATTCCCAAAATACTGCTGGGTTAAAAATAATTCCCAAAAGACTGCTGGGATAACTGTGGTTAAGAAAAGCCGCCACTTGAAATGGCGGTTTTTCTCTACACAGTACAAGAGCCGCCACTTGAAGTGGCGGCTTTTCTTAAAGAACAAAGCAACCAACACATCTACGTAACATATACGAAGTACTTCGTACGCTCAAGTCTAACAATAAATAAAGTGGGACCCATCCAAAATTAAAAATCCCCTGTTTTCTTTGAACTGCTGTAACTTTTTTATTTGTACTCTGATTGTTACAAAAAATATATCAATATTCATAATTTTTTATTATCTTTCATATGACACCAATATTGAATATATAAAATAAAAAAATAATTTAACACTAAAAATTACTATCTCCGGTCCTAAATAAACTTCTTGTACACTTTACAATACTTGACTGACGATAAAACAACCCGATCCATGTTCACACCCGATTTAATTACTTTTAGTAAATAAAATTTACATTTTCAGAAAATTTACATTTTCAGAAACTACATTAAAACCGCTATAAAGACTGATCAAGAAAATTTATAGCGGTTTTAATGTAGTTTCTGAAAATGTAAATTTTATTTACTAAAAATAAACCGGGTGTGAACATGGATCGGGTTGTTTTATCGTCAGTCAAGCATCGTAAAGTGTACGAGAAGTTTATTTAGGACCAGAGATAGTAATTTTTAGTGTTAAATTATTATTTTTATTTTATATATTCAATATTGGTGTCATATGAAAGATAATAAAAAATTATGAATATTGATATATTTTTTGTAACAATTAGAGTACAAATAAAAAAGTTATAGCAGTTCAAAGAAAACAGGGGATTTTTAATTTTGGATGGGTCCCACAACATTTGTTTTTAGACTTATACTTGGTATAGGTTACCTGGTTGCTTTATTCTTTAAGAAAAGCCGCCACTTCAAGTGGCGGCTCTTGTACTGTGTAGAGAAAAACCGCCATTTCATGTGGCGGCTTTTCTTAACCACAGTTAACCCAGCAGTATTTTGGGAATTATTTTTAACCCAGCAGTATTTTGGGAATTATTTATTTATGCAGCATTATTCCGGGAAAAAACTCAAAAAATTATATATTTTTCTTTACAATACGTCAATTCTGGTTGCTACACTATTGTATGTATCTACAATTAGAATTGAAAGACTAGCTAGACTTACTGCCTCTAAACATATGCATCCCATTCATCCTTACTTTATATGGTTTTTTTTTTGAAGAGTTTCTATATTATCACTAAGAGAACTTAGGAAAGTGATTGAGTACGTAAAAAATACTTCCTCCGTTTCTAAAAGAAACTCACACTTTCCTTTTTGGGATGTTTCAAAAACAAAGTCACACTTCCCTTATTTCCTTATTTGGCAAAGAAATCTACATCCAAATAGTGCCAAACAGTGTCAAACAGTGTCTAAACAGTGTTTTCTACAGTAAAGTTAATTTATTTCCTTAATAATCGTGAAGTCAAACCGTGACTTTCTTTTAGAAACGGAGTATGTTAACATAATGGTTTTTAATGTTTTATTAAGACTATACAAATTAAATCATATATAGTAAAAAAAAAGATACAACTATTACTATTTGTGAACATGGTTTACTACATTTACGAGCAATTCATAAGATTATAAACAATATATATTTGATTGGATTAATTAGATCAACAAAAAAACTATAGATAAAAATGCATTTTTTAAAAATAAGTAAGATATAAATTATTTACTAGTATCATCATATCGTTGGTACATTATATTCAATAGCTAGATGCATATTCAAATTAAAAATTTCAAAACCTTATGATCTTAACATTTATTTTATTTTAACATTTGTTTGAGGTTGTTCAAGCCT